GCAGGGATGCCATCTGGTCCTTCAATGTAAGAGTGCTTCAGTGTAGTAATCTGCTTAGAAATGTTCTATACACTAAATTCAACACTGGCGATTTCACAGGAAGGAGTTTGGGTCAGGTGTGACTTATTTGTTGAGTTTTCGTTTGTTGATGTGGCACAAAAATGTCCGCTAAACAACTCTGCGATACTTTTACGGTCGTCATACACTTGATTGTCCTTAATAAATATGCTCCCTCCTTTCACTTTGGAGCATTTGATTTTATTACGAAGGAGTTTTATGAGTTCAGAGGATTGATTGTTCAGCTGAACATCACGCTTTTCTTTTGCGATTGCCTTTTTAGTACGTGTTATTTCTGCCTCAACACATATTTCAGTCATCGTTACTAATGAGGAGAAGTCATTACATTTATGAAATCTGGAATCATGTCTTCGAAGACGTTTTCGTATATGACCTGGCATAAATAAGTCCTTAGGAATTCTGGGTCTCCAGGATCCTAAAAGTGCAAATTTGTTGAATATGCTATTTGTGTTTTGATAAAATACATTTATTAGTTCATCAGTATTGTTTGCAGTAAAGTAGTTTGTCCAGTCAATGCTTCTGAGGCAGTTACGGAAGTTTGACCAATCAATCCTACGAAAGTCCCTACGAAGTGTAGTGGATTTATACTTTATAGTTGTAGCTCCTATATCAAGGCTGCATATGACCATATTATGATCGCTACCTGGGAACTTTTTTCCAACATATACAGTGTGAGGAATGAGATTGCTGGTGAAAACCAAATCCAATGTATTTTGATTTCTGGTTGAGCCATTAACATGTTGAGTCCACTCTCCAAGCTCTAAGCATTCAATAAATGATTCGAATCGTTTAGGTGCTTTGATTGGGAACCAAGTGATTTCAGGCTTGTTGAAGTCCCCACAAATAGCCTTGCTTGTGAACGGTAGGGATGAAACAAATGTGAATACTTCTGACAATAATGCTAGATCTCCTGTTGGTGCATTAGGCTGTCGGTAGACACAGCCGAACAGTAAGGAAACGGCATTTGACGGTTTCAGAACGATCCACACAGAGTCTGGCAATCTATTTAGTTCCGATATATCACATAAGAGCGAGTTTAGGCTAGAGTGGGCATATATAAGGCATCCTCCACCTCTTCCTTCTAACCTATCACTTCGAAACAGATCATAGTTTTCAAGAGATATAGTAAGATCAGAAATATTACTACAGGTCCATGCCTCAGTTATCATAATAAGTGATGGTTGGCAGATAGTAGAAAACATGACTAGATCTGTCTTTTTTTACAGATTGAACGAGACATATTTTAAACAGATGTCCCGCTAAGCTAAATAGTTTAGGGTATCTTTAGTAAAGGAGTTACTATGACCTACGTGGGTGTGGTATGAGGAGTTAGGGGGGGGACATGTTAAGTAAATTACTGAAATTTACAGGAGGGGTTGTTAGCCCGGGGAAAGGGGGAGAATGTTGTCTGTTTGAGATTGTGCGAGGAGAGTGTTTTTATGTTCTGTATGTGGTATGAAATGACTTGAGCTATATGTCGCGCAAGAGGTACCACAAGTGGCTGTATCCCGAAAAAATTTTGATTTGGCTGGCATTGCAGTTCACCACCGTTTCTAGTAATGTCTTGATGACACAGCTCGTTACTAAGGCTAAATTTATACTGAATAGTTTTAACTTGGGGAGGGTTAGCCATATACGACTGCCAGTTGCTATGGCCTTTTCTAAATTTGAGGGTCATGTTTACCAGCTGGCTTGGTAGAGCAGGATGCATAGAGTTTTCATTCTCAGCGTTTTTGCGAATAAAAGCCCGGGTGTTTAGGATAGGGTGAGGGGTGAAAAATCTTCCATTTCCACTTTCACTAATAGTTTTAGGATTAGGTGGTTGGGCAGCGCAACTAGCTCTTGGATAATAATTATTTGTGCGCATGTTCAGATGTTGGTCTGACATGTTCTTAATATAATCAGTCTTACAACTTGGAGAGGCTAGGGGCACATCGCATGATCTTAACCTTAAGACATAATCTTACATCCTGAATTCAGTTAAGACAGAAGACAATATTAATGTTGGAGAATATGTTTGGAAGGTGGCTTGTTTATCGATGAATATATGACCAAAGCTGATTGGTTTTCTGAGATGAATGAGTAGTACAAAATACCCAATAATGATCTGGTGCGGATGCTTGACCAAACGCCTCTTGACAAGGTCTGTTCAATAAGATATATGGGGTCTTAATCATTGCGAAAAGCTTACAGAACAACTTGTTTTGGGGGCTAATTAGCTAATAAATTAGTCAGATTTAGTTAGCCTATCTTAACAGTCGTAGATACAAGTAGCTGGTTGAACAAAGAAACAATTCATTTTCACGAAAAACAGATAGACACAAACAGAGTTTTCTGATAGTGGAAAATCAGCAGATATTGCTGTGGTATGAAGAATCAAGAAAATACTTATTATAGAGGAGTTGCTTGGAAATAACCAATTGCCTTACGTTCAGAGGCCCCTAAAAAAGGTAAACAGGGTGCACGCAAGTTGGAGAGTAACCCTTTCAGGAGTTTCACAGGGGACCATCCTAGGTCCACTCCTCTTCCTGATATTTATTAACGACCTGCTAGGCTTAGTTAGCTCACCGGCATTGATCTACGCAGACGATGCGAAGATCTGGAGGTCCATTAGAAGCGAAGAGGATTCGGCTGAGCTTCAAAAGGACCTTACGTCTATCGAGAAATGGGCAGTGAAAAACGGTTTAAAACCCAACCAACCGAAGTGCCACGTCATGCATTTCCTGCCTCATATGACGCAAACGACCTATACCCTCAATGGAAGTCCGCTCCCTAATGTCTCCTCAGAGCGCGATCTTGGTTTAATAACCACAGAAAGCCTCCACACGAGTTCGAACTATGTGTGGGATGCAGCCAAGGCAAATGCGACTCTTCAATTTATGCGAAGACAGCTTGGTGCTATCACCCCGAAATTATTTTTAACCTTGTTTAATTAGAACAACACATATAAGCGAACAATATTGTTTTCGATTAGATCGTCATCAGGCTTTACTCTAATATACATGAATATTTATATGAAAATGTTAAACCAATCAAGGCAATTTGAGTGATAATCACAATGAAAAAGATTACGTAACTACATCTAATAGGCAAAAGTTAAAGTGGATAATAGGAAAACAGGTGTACTGATAGTAGTAAGTAAATTTACAAAATATGATAACTAAAGTAGGTCAAGGGTGGATGAATAGGATTCAAATAATCATCAAAAACGTCAAAACCATTACGTAATAAGCAAATATGTAAAAATAAAATGAAATAAAAAAAAAATCAAAAAATAATAAAAATATGTCAATCATTAGTTACATCATATCCGGCCACGGAAGAGACAGGGGTGTCACGAATTTCTTCTGAACACATAAATTAGGGTTGAATGTACGTATTCCTATGGCTTCTGCAATGTGTAGGAGACGGGATCGAACTCCGTTGGGAAATGATGGAGGTATACGACAGATCACCCGAAAAGATCTAGATATTGTTCGCTTATATGTGTTGTTCTAATTTTCACAATGGGAATCTTTAAAACCCTGTTTAAGACGTACGTGCGCCCACACTTGGAGGTTCACAACGTCATCGCACCCCCTCTGCTTAAAAGAGACATTAATCTCTTGGATCGAGTGCAGAGACGAGCAACGAAATGAGTGATAAGGTTGAAAAACAAACCCTACGACGATAGACTCCAGCTCTTGGGATTATTCCCACTGAGCTACAGGAGAATCAGAGGTGACCTGATTATGGCGTACACCATATTAAACACGCCAAACCATCCCAGTGTGAGCATCTTACCGATGCATCACCACCACTCCCCTCGAGGCAATCCTCGAAAGATTGCACATCAAAGAGCGAATACTCAGATTCGTGCACACTTTTTCGCATTGCGAGTCGTGGCAACTTGGAATGCTCTCCCAGCCGAGGTAGTTAGAGCCCCCTCAGTGTACTGCTTTAAGAAGAGACTTGATAATCACGTACTCATATACGGATTATAATCTCCCTCTTGGACAAGCTGTGCCTGATGCAAATCTTGAGATCTGCTAGTTGTTACCATTGCCATCTCCTCAGATCACTCAAATAATCTATCTCGCCTATTATCTCTGTTTCTCCTCCCTTGCTTACACTTCGATCCTCTCTCACAAATCATCTAAATATTACGTAGTTCTGAAATTTTATTCATATTATCGTCAGAATTTTATCCTTATTACCCTTATTACTCTCCACATCGCAACTAACTGATCTCCGGTCTGGCAATGTGACGGCTGCTAGTATCCAGAAACCCTACTGCCCTGAAACAAACGTTTCATTCAAATCCCGAGACATACAAACTCACAACCAACTGCCAACTGAGTAGAATTAGACAGCCCAGTGGCTAGACCTCCATCCATTGGACATTACCGAACACCTGGAACCGTACCGAAAGAACAAGAATCGAGCGCGAAGAAATCGAACTGGTTTTCACTAGCTCGTGAAAAAGATATTGGATATTGAATTAGGAAACGGAACTGGGAGGTCTAGAAAAATCATGTTTAAATAACCATAGCTAACCATAATCAAGCTGAAAAGGTATGCAATAAAATTATTTACCTATAAAATGAGAGAAAATAAAATCGGATTTGTTTACCGGGTGCATTTTTTGGACAAAGATGATCACTATTCTGACAGTGGGAAATTAGAATAATGTCATGGGAATATTTGGAAATGGGGCCTATATCGACTTTTTCAACGCTTTTGTCCTCTCATAGAAGATCCGACTTTAAAAGTTGTAGTCTGAATTTGTTGAGGTGAAGCAGCGCGTCTTAAGAATGGTGGAGGGAAAACAAACAAGGGAAGTTGTATTTGAAAGGTTACGTTCTTACTTTAAATCTAAGATTGTTTCTCCTCGTCAAGAGCAAGTCAACTGAAAAAACCTGTTCACATTAAGGCTTCAGAGTATGTTTGGAAGCCGTACAGATAAATTACAAGACTCACTAATACAACTCAGAGTATGTTACATAATATTGCTGATAAAATTGGTCTATTCCTTATAGATAGCATCGAAGAAAGTGACGCGCCTATCTGAAAAGGCAGCAAGAGAATCTGAGGTGCAGAAGCAGAAACTCAAAAAGGTGGCTTACTATCTGGCACAAAATTTAAACACTGAATTTTTACAGGCTTTAGCATCTGATAATATTGAGTGTGGCCGAATATACGCTGAAAACGCCATAAGGAAAAAGAAAGAGTCCATCAACTACCTCCGAATGGCTTCTCGCTTTGACGCTGTTCAGTCACGAGTACAGAGTGCTCTCACAATGAAACAGGTGGTGTCAAATATTGGTGTCGTTTCACATGAACTTGAAAAAGCAATGGCTACCATGGATTTAGAGAAACTCGAAAAGGTTATGAGTAAATTTGAGTCTCAGTTTGAGGATCTTGATATTCGTTCTTCAACTATGGAACATTCTATGAGGAATGCCTTCACTCTTTCAGCTCCTGAACAAGAGATTAATGCTTTAATAAAGCAGGTTAGTTCAGGCTGATTGTTTGTTTAGTCTATCCTGACTTCTTGGCACTTTGTTTTCACTGTGAAGCATTTTAATACCAGAGGTTTATCAAGAGCAACGTAGTCTTAGTTCTCATCTCATTCTTGAATCAGTTTAGTTCAGTCAGCAGTGTAATTACTGATTTTCTGAGGTTTCGTCCTCAATGTGGTATGTGGGATTGTACTTTGTGGCTAGGCCGTGTATTATTTTACAAGCAACTAAACTAAATATGGTATTAGCTATGCTAATATGTATTGAGTAAGTTGGTCTGGTGATACACATTAAAGTTACACAAACGCTTCAGATTGTGACATTTTTAATCAACCTGGAGGTCTTAGTGCACGGATTGAGTAAGCAATGTTGGTATTAAGAAACGACTCCCATGTAAGGATGGCAGATCAGTAGATGAAGTATTGAAACTTCATCAGTTGAGGTGGTTGGGAAAAGTGTTACAGATGCCCAACCACCGACTGCATTAATCAGCTATATTTAGTGGTGTAGGAATAGGTTGAAAGGAAGCTGGGGGCGAGCAAACCAAAACATGGCACAAATGCATGAAGTTACAGACAAGTGAACTGAGTCATGTCGGTAGATGTAGGCTACGTGGTTGGGGTCCGCGAGATGATAATAGTCGATGGTTAGAGACCTTGAACGACATGGCTCAGAATCGTTTGCATAGGTACAAATGCATCCATTCTTTGTCTTCTCTCAGGACCATCATTTCTCTCATTCTCAATCTATTTCACTGGACTATATTTCTCCAATCATATCTTCGAACTCTAATCTTTTCCATTACCACTAGTAATTCTACTACGTCTACTACTATGGGAATTGAAACAAAAATCTGATTTGTGTGCTAATGTAGTTTGGGAACTTGATTTATGTGCGTAAGAAGTTCTAACTGATCATTCCGAATCATTTTTCACCAGTACTGGTAGTCGATGAAAGCTAGTTTATGAAATGGCGTTGTACAAAGATATATAATGATGTTAGTGACTGTTGGTTAACCATAAATCCATGGTTAGTGTCAGGACGACTATTCAGTCCAAATATCACCTGAAACATTAATCAGTCTTGTCATGTAGAAGTCTTACTATATTCTTCTACGAAAGCAAAATCCTCCCATAGAATTAACATTTCAGTTGGTGCTGTTGTCGTTTTGTTGTTGTTTTCCTTAATGGCTTATTTTCAGTAATCAAAATTTCCCTCCTGTTTCTCTAAAAATGGTTTGGTTTCGTGTTGTTAACATTTTCACACTTTTCCATTGTATAAAATTTGTTTTTCAGACAATCTAGGCGAACTGTTGGTCTCCTCACTAGCTTGTTTGATAATTTTTAAAAAATACATTATTTTCTGAAGTGAATGACTAATTTTATGGTTGTTTTCTGAACTCAACTCAGGTGGCAGAAGAAAACAGTCTTGAGGTTTCACACGCTATTGCAGATGCTCCTGTTGTTATCGGTACATTGTCTGTTAATTCAGAGTCATCCAGGGATGCTGAAGATGATGCGCTTACAAGAAGGTTAGTTTTGTATCTGTTAAATTTTTCGCGTACTAGGCTATATGAACTCATCCGGCATTCGTATTACGTACGTAACTGTTCTCAAATATAGTCTTAAGACTTTATATACTGGGTTACACTTAGTCACTACCAGGTGCTCATAGCAATAATATTTTGCAACGAAATAATATCTGGGCTTAATTCATTTGTCAGATTTCTCACAATCGCGCTGTAAATCAAATTTTATTGATAAGATTGAGCTGTATCAAACTTTTTCCTCGAAAATCACATTTTTTACATAAACACCGTGTAGTACGTTGGTGTTTATTCATGGGAAATGTTTTTGTATATTCCTCTGATTACATGTTTTCAGATAATTATGGCAATTATTTTTTCTAAAATTGACCTTAACTGAAAAGTAATAGAACAGTATTCATGTTTACTCGAATTGCCGATAGTTTTATCCAGTAGTGTATTTGTGTTTGACTTACTTTGTAAGTAGTAACAGAACTCGGTATTTCTGTATTGCTTCAGCGCATCATGTTGATCCTAAGATATACATCCAGGTATTTATTGGGAAAACTATTTTTTGCCACCGGTCATAGTTTTTGTGAAAATGAGGTACATTGTTATTCTGTATGTCAAGGAAGAGTGGTCCTGTGGAAAATTATGTTCAGTTTAGCCACTCAAAGCTAATCACTACCCATCTAATTAATTGTCATCCGTGATTAGCAAACATAATTCATTTTGCAGACAGATGGTGACAAACGGTTGTTATGTTGTACAGAAGATTATTTTTCTCACTTGGTTTTCCAAAACCGTTTTTAACCTTGATATAATCTATATCTTACTGCGTTATCATAGTCAGTCCTGCCCTGTTTGAATAGTGTAGATTTTCAAGTGACTTTTTCTAAAAGGTCTTACTGAATGTGATATGGACCTCCAAACTTCCCGTTTTCAACATTCACACCTTAGTACTAATCGTACAATGATAGGTTTAGCTAAAACTACTTAGGTTTGAAGTATCTGGAGAATCTTCACTAAAGATTTTAATTAATGTTTAGATTAGAAAAGCATGTTTACTATGCTGATTCAGTAACACACTTAACATTGAAATCTAGTCTTACCGGCTTCGGTTTTACATAAACCGCTTCAAAAAAATGCAGTGCTAGTCGACTGTTTCCCACTAACCACTGAGTAGTCATAAACAGCGTAAGACCTAGCAGGAGTAAAAAATGCATGAATATTGATGATGGTTACTCAATTCCTTGACTAATAAGTACTGACTAACCTAAAGATGTGAAAGTTTTGCGAAAAAGCTCCACCCACTAAAATACTACAGCGATAAATCCAGTTGTTAAGTTCCGGCAAGTTTCAAGAATAAGCACAGCATTCTATTCAACTCAGTATCTAAATTGCTTATGGAAGAAAGGCAAACAGAGTGTATACCATCGTTCTTGAATAGAATGATCTTTGTACATATCTTCCAGAGGCCTACCTTACTAAGGCTTGTTACCCCTCGAAAACCATAAGCAACCGGCCAGGATTCTTCAACTAACTCTACCCTGGGTTATTTTCTAGTTGTTCCTAGTTGTTACTCATTCTTTTCATGTCTGCATCCAATTCTGAGTGCGATGCGTTCTCTAGTCTGCATCTATTCCTTTGGTCTTTAGGATCCGAAGTTAGGGCTTGCTTTATGACACAGTTTGGCGATTTTCGCAATGTGCGTCCTATCTATTCCAGCGCTATTCCCTAATCTCTTCCTCAGTTGGAATCTGGTTTGTTCTCAGTAGATTGTTGCCGATAGGGTCTGGCTGACAGATCCGGAATGTCTTGCGTGTAGACAACTGTTAATAAACACCTGTATCTGTTGGATGATGGCTTTCGTAGTTCTCCAAGTTTCCGCTTCATACAATAGGACAGTTCTGACGTTTGTATTGGAAATAATGAGTTTCAGTCAGTCAGTTGCAACGTAGAACTTCGTACGTATGTACAATAAGTTCATGTTGCCATACCACATTAGCACAAAGACGCAGATGTCAAATCAAATGCCATAGTGATAAAGATAGAAGAGGTATTAATCCTAATGAAGAAGACTAGGGTTCGAAGATATTATTCAAGAAGCATAATTAGGCGAAATAAGGTTAGAAAGACAAAGGTAGAGGTGCTGACGAATCCAGAAGATTAGGATTTGAGAGAACACAGAGAATGGATGCACTTGCGCCGTTGCAAACGATTTTGAGCCATGTCGTTCAAGTCTCTAACCATTGGCGACTTTCGTCTCGCGGACCCCAACCACGTAGCCTACATCTACCGACATGACTCAGTCCACTTGTCAGTGACTTCATGGATTTCTACCATGTTTTGATCTGGCCGCCCCTAACTTTCTTCCAACCTACTCCTACACCACAAAACATAACTCGATGAGGCAGTCGGTGGTTGGGCATCTGTAACACTTGTCCCAACCACCTCAACTGATGAAGTTTCAATACTTCATCTATTGATCTGCCATCCTTACCTAGCACCCGTTTCCTAACGACAGCATTGCTTACTTGGTTGTCCCACGATACTCGAGCAATGCTTCGGAAACCCAGTAACCTACGAATATCTTCTACTCTGACTGGCCATGTTTCACAGCCATATAGTGGAACAGAGCGAACTGATACGCAGTACACTCGTCCTTTAGTTAGCAAACGGATATCTCGCCTACGCCATAAGTGACGCAAGTTAGCAAACACCAGTCGAGCCTTCTGTATCCGTGCTGAGATTTCGTCAATCAACAAGGCCATCAGTACTGATGAGACTTCCGAGATAAGTGCAGCGATCAACATGCCCAACTACTTCACTCCGTATCACTAGTTCAGCTACCGATGCAACCCAATCTTGAAGCAACATTTCGCATTTCGAGGGTGAGAACCGCATCCCGGACATTCATGCATTGTTGCTTAGGGTGGTCAGAAGACTCCGCATTTTGTCAGCGTCTTCACCAAGTAGGACAATGTCATCGGCATATTCTAAGTCAATAAGTGAGCCCCCTCGCAGAAGGTCTACTGCTGAACATTCAGACGAGGGTAAGGTTATATCTAGGAGCATGTCTATGATAAAATTAAACAAGAATGGAGAGAATGGACGCTTCCAGGTCTCTAAGACCGACACTAATGTATCTTCCTTTCTAAGTTCTTCATGAAACAACCTTCCACGGTGTGGGTACCCGGGAAGTGACAACCGCCCTCATACCCGTAACAACAAGCTAGACCGAATCGGTCATAATCAAATCCTTCATACACCCCGTAATCTCTCTCTTATCTCCACGACTAACTCTACTCACATTCCTCTATCACTCCGCACAGCTAATGCAAACGATGCGAGTTAACGAAAATTCATTCCTGGTCTCCTGAAACCTCGTTCTAAATTAAATGTGGGAGCATTTAATATCCGAACATTTCGTCAAATAGGGCAACAAACTTCCTTAGCTAGGACATTAGATGAGTTTTACAGAAACCTTTCTAACCTTCTTTAAAATGTTAAGCGCTGTGATTTAGTATTAATTGCTAGTGACATTAATGCTCAAGTAGGTAGACCAAGTGAAAAGGAAATACACCTGGGTGAATGTCGTGGTGTCGCGGCTCAGAGAACAGATAATGGCGACTGCCTGTTGCAACTATGCTCAGATAACCGCCTATTTCTAGCAAACACTAACTTTAGGCATAAGGAAAAACATCTCTTGACTTGGCGACCCCCGAGGTCGTCTCAACGTTGAACCAAACTAGATCACTTCAAAGATTCATACAACGTCAGGTCTTAAAACAAAGACACGTTCAGACGCCCCACAATAGTAGTATTTCTCGACCTTCAGCGGCATTCGACTCCGTTGATCACGAGGTTCTGTGGCAGTGTCTGTCATTAAAAGGCGTGCCAAAGAAGTACAGTAACCTTGTACAAGCTCTCTACTCGAACACTACTGGTCGAGCTGGAGCTTATGGCGAACTGCCATCGGAATGCTTTAGTTCAAGTGGTATCCGTCAGGGCTGTCCAGTGTCTCCATTCTCGTTTAACTTTGTCGTAGATATGCTTTTAGTGTTAACATTGTCGTCGTCTGACTTTTTGGGAGTGGACCTTTTACCAGGAGACACGCTTGCTTGACTTATAATATGCTGATGACATAGTTCTGTTTAGCGAAGACGCTGACAAAATGTAGAGTCTTCTGAACATCCTTAGCAACAATGCGGGCATGTTCGAGATGTGGTTTTCCCTCTGGTACTGTGAAATGTTGCTTCAGGATTGGCTTGCGTCAGTAGCTGAACTAGTGATAGGGAGTGACGTAATTGAGCTTGTTGACCGCCCTACTTATCTTGGGAGGTCTCATCAGTGATGATAACCTGGTGACTGACGAAATCTCAGCTCGGATACAGGATGCTCGATTGGCTTTCGCCAACTTGCGTCGCTTATGACTCAGGCGAGATATTCGTTTGTCACCCAAACGACGAGTGTGCTGCTCATTAGTTCGCTCTGTTCTTCTATACGGATGCGAAACATGGTTGGTGAGAGTACAGGATATTCGTAGATTGCCAGTCTTTGATCATAGGTGCTCGTATATGCTGGGAAAGCCGAGTAAGCAATGCTGTCGTTAGGAAACGAGAACTAGGTAGGGATGGCAAATTAATAGGTGAAGTATTGTAACTTCATCAGTTGATTTGGTTGGGACATGTGTTACGAATGTTTAGTGGTGTAGGAGTAGGTTGGAAGGAAGCCAGGGGCGGCCAGATCAAAACATGGTAGAAATCCATGAAGTCACTGACAAGTGGACTGAGTCATGTTGGTATATGTAGGCTACTTGGTTGGGGCCGCTAGACGAAACTCACCGATGGTAAGGGACCTTGAATGACATAGCTCAAAATCGTTTGCAATGGCACAGGTGCATTCATTTATTGTGTTCTTTCAAATTCTAATCTTCTTAATTCGTCATCATCCCTATCTTCCTCTGTCTAATGTTATCTCACTGAATTATACTTCTCGAATCATGTTTTCGAACCCTAATCTCCATTACTGCTAATACTTCTTCCACTCTACCACTATTGGGTTTGAACTGACAGTTGCGTCTCTGTGATGATGGGGTATGACAACCTGAACTTATGTACTCATTTACGAAGTTCTACGTCGTAACTGACTGACTGACTAACTAACATGTCAAGGTTATTGCTTCTTTAATCCTTTCCCACTAATTCTCCATAGCAGCTTCTTCTTTGAGTAGAGTTTGTAAACTTTGGAAGTCACCAAATGCTAGCTAATTTAAATCTCTTGTTTACGTAAATTTTATCGATCTGTTTCTCTGTAGTGTGGTCGGATAAAACTTATGTATCTTTTTGATTGCGTTTGTCAGGAAGTATGGTGTTACCTTGGGTATATGAGGCGTTCTCTTCTTAATCGTTGGAGTACAGCAGTATTTCTACCGAAGCTAACCTTTCTTTATCCAACCTGTGACCTATGTATTTCACTTATTCTAAGCATCACCAGATTGCATTTTTTAATTTCCTCAACAATTTGAATGGATCTCCTGGTCTCTCACATTGTGCGAACATCCCATGTACCTATGTCAATGGTTACTCTGGCTGTCAGAAGGGGCATCGACCTCGTAGCTTCTGAAGAGACTTGACTCTCATCATGAGGTCAGTCAGCAACAACGTAGAACTTCGTACGTACATACTTCAGTTCCAGTTGCCATACTTACATTAGCACAGATGCAATTGACGAATCAAATCCCATAGTGGTAGAAGTAGTAATCGGAATGAGAATGGAGATAATGAACAACCCTGACGAACACCACTTGAAGCAGTCGATTTCATCGTCAATTCGTCATAGGCTCACACTCGACCAGTAATTTCCGAGTAGAGGGCCTGCACAAGGTTAGTATACATCTTTGGTACACCTTTCAATGACAGACACTGACACCTTACGAGCAACAGAGTCAAATGCCGCCTTAAGGTCTAGGAAGACACTTATTGTCGGGCGAGGAAGCAAACACGACAGAAATGCCATCCTTTTTTCTAATCAATAAATGCACGTAAAACATGCTTTTCGGATCGAAGGATGGAAAGCGAATGTGTAGTACTTCGCTATAGTCTTAAACGCAAGTCTCGGATATACGGGAGATGTCGATATTAAGACTTTCAAATCACATGCTCAGACCTGTTTGTTGTCGGATATGCATTATTGTGCAAACGTTGGAGGATAGTGTAAATAACTCACCAGGCTTCAGTAAAACTAATTCGGCATTCCAGCTTTCATTCAGTCATTGACTGAAGCTCGTCTGGCCAGGATAACACTTTGACCACAGATGAGTTGTGATTTGTGCGATTACGGTAAACACATTGAACATAAAATGAACTAGAAAAGTGGGTCATCACTAATTGAACGGGTTGTACACATCTTTTGATTTAGTAAGGAAACTAAGCAAGTAAATTAGTTTCTACATTAATATTATCTGTCATATTTGTGAGAAGGCTGGGTTGCTGCTCTGCAGCCCTAACCAAATTAGATAATTTTCTTGGAGACTGACCCCCTGAGCCTTTGATCTGAAGGCATAATTCCAAAGGCACTGGTGCAACACTAGTAGACTCTATCTCATGATAGTAATACGATCAAGCTTGGGCTCATACGTTATTCGATCCTTTAAAGTTTTGGGACTGTTAGTTAAGAATTATGCTTTTCTAACTCTTAGGTATGTCATCCGTTTGTACTGATCCGGTTTAAGCGCTGGACACTTTTCTTCTCACTACTTTAAACAGCACCCTTTCCTCAAGAAGGCAATGATTAGGACTCCTATGGCAGTAACTATAAAATGGAGAACAGGCTGAACCCACCATTGGTTGTATCATAAATATCACATCTTAAATGATCTATTTCAATCAAAAATAGGCTGCATTTTTTCATCCCAAGTTGTGCTTTTTTTGTTGAATTAAATGTGAAAATTTATTCTTACTGTGTTTACAATATAGTCAACTAAGAAGTTTGTCAATTTTCTTATCGCTAAGGCCGTAACTTGATTAGATAATAAAACTAGCTGAAAAGTAATTCTAATAATTATTACAATAATAATTGTTACCACTGTGCTTATGATATTTATTTTGCTTTCTGTTTAAAAAAAATAGAGGTAACAATACATGGTCATTGCTCTTGTTCATCAATTTTCTCTCTTCATCTCTAATCGTAATCATAGATATGTATATTTGTGTATTATTGTCATATTTCAATCCTATTTAATGTGAATATTTTTTCCCATATCTTAATAAAAACGATGATCAAGAATTTTCTTATTTCATAATTTAACAGTTCACATGAATCTAATCATGTTTATACATATCATTACTAACTGGGTTGTCTTTTCTTAAATTTTGTGAATCGACATCAGCACGTGGTTAGTTTTTGGTTTTCTACCTCTTACATGCAGTGCTAATACACAAAAATATTTTTATGTTTATCGTGTTTTGTTTGCATTTAAATTTGGAACGTTCTTTACTCACACATCATTATTAAATGCTTCATTTACCATTGCAGATCCTTTTGGCTGTTATTTTCTAACTGATATCATCACTTGTCTACCAGCAACTGAAACCACCATGGAGATAAAAGAGATGTTAGGTGTATGAAGGATTTGATTGTGACCAATTTGGTCTCGCGTGCTGTTACGGGTATGAGGGCGGTTGTCACTTCCCGGCTACCCACACCGTGGAAGGTTGTTTCTTGAGGAACCTAGAAAGGAAGGTAGATTAGTGTTGGTCTTAAAGATCTGGGAACGTGACCGCAGATCACGTACAGCCTTTTTATGGGAAATTTGTAAGGTGTTAGCCGCGCTCTTCAAGTGGCATTGCCGTCGGAGACGGAAATCCGTGGGATAAGGTGTGGTGTGACATTTTTAGGGTCGACCTTTTCTAACCGCAGATGCTGGTTGTCCGAGGGAAACACCTTACTGCTGTCACACTCCTCTACAGTCAGTGGTACGACTTTGCCCTCAGACTTTGAATAGCTGCTTTTAGACTCACCGTTCTCCAATCGACCTGGCTGGCGTGATAGGAACTACAGGAACATATTTTACAGCCAATATAGCTCAGTTGGGTCATCACGATAGGCAATCCCGACCATCATGTCAAGGTAGCAGCCCACGGTCAGGTCTACTGCGCAACAGTTCTCTCCGTCCTACTATACGGATGCGAAACATGCCGCTAAGATTTTAGGATATTCGTAGGTTATTAGCATTCGATTATAGATGTCTTCGAAGCGTTGCTCGTGTATCCATAGGCAACTGAACAAGAAATGCAGTTGTTAGGAAATGTGTAATAGGTAAGGATGGCAGATCAAATAATGAAGTATTGAAACTTCATCAGTTGAGGTGGTTGGGACATATGTTACAAGTGTCCAAACACCGACTGCCTTGACGAGCGATGTTTTGTGGTGTACGAGTAGGTTGGGTGAAAGCTAGGGGTGGCCAGATCAAAAAAATCGCACAAATTCATGAAGTCACTGACAAGTGAACTGAGTCATGTTGGTAGATGTAGACTACGTAGTTGGGGTCTGCAAGACAGTAGTAACCGATGGTCAGAGACTTTGAATGACATGGCTGAGAATCGTTTGCAATGGCGCAGGTGCATCCACTCTTTGTGTTCTTCCAAATTCTAATCTAAACTGTTCATGACCATCTTTCTCGTCTCATATTTATTTCACTGGATTACACTCGTTGGATAACATCTTCAAACCCTAATCTTTCTGATTACTACTTCTACCACTACGGGACTTGAATCGTCAGTTGCATCTCTACTAATTTGGTATGGCAACCTGAACTGAAGTACGTACGTATGAAGTTCCAAGTTGTAACTGACTAACTAATACCACCATACTATAAGCCAAAACCTTACAGTTAGTGATAACACTAGGTTACGTGGAAAAGGATACGTTTAAGCTTTTGACTGTTATTGCTGTTGTTACGATATTTTGATACCACCATCATGGGTTTTGTAGTCAAAACATCAATTCGTGAAACAAGTCACTATAAATATCAAACTTCAAGTATTTTGATGTCAATAAATATTTTATCTAATCGGATAACCCCTAATTCTTATTAATAAGGTCACTTTTAAGCTATGATGTATTTGTCAAATGAAGTAGAACAGTGATTTCTTCGCATTTCACGGCCTCCGGAAAGTTACTTCTTGAGAAATTAAATAACATGTGTGTTTTATACCTCTTACTTTTTGCTTTCTCTTCAGTGCTACCTGCACACCATTTATAAATATTCTTGTTTTGAAATTAATGAATGTCTAAGTTTTAAAGCTCGTTACATTGAATTCCTTTTTCACTCATTTTTGTTTAAGCATTTCTCAGATATACCTACCGTGTTGTATTTCATACCTTATTTTTCACGTAATACAATACCCAATTTTTCGCGATTAGTCAGCTTCATGCTGACTGTTATTGAAGTATAAGGTAATATGGTCATCTCACCGTGGATTAATTACTAACCTTGAGGTGCTATCATTTATTCACATCTAAATCGTTTTTGAGACTGCTCACCAAATACGAGTAATCTTTCCAGATATGCTGAATTAATTTTAGTCCCGGGGAGCTAATATTTCTTTTAAAGAATTCAGATTATAACTTGACTACCGTCTCTTCCTAAATCTTTTGCATTATGGTATTATGGAGATCGTTATTTTTGCACATTAAAATCATGAATCTTTGTTTGTTTTTGCCTTAGGCTTGCTGCTCTCCGTCAGTGAAACCTGTCAATTATCTCCGTGCTTTGCTGATCCATCTGGTCAGTAATAATTAATTGTGACTCTACTTTCGGTCGCTAACAGGTCACTTATTGATTCACCTTTGTATTTTTGCTTTTTCCAAACCTTACAGAAGAAGTATATTTCTTCTTTGAAATAAGTTCAACTTGCTTGATGAACCCACTTTGTTTTATTTCGTAATATATCTATACCGTCAGATTTTCTATGTATCCTTAAGAAAATTATCTATTTTCCATTACTTGCTTATCGTTGAAAGGATTTTGTAAAAAGAATGTCGACAATCTCTCTAATACGTCCTACAGTGTTACTTATTATTCGTTTCAGTTACTTAATTTTACTTTTTTCTTTAGTTTCACAAGTAACACTAGTTGTGCACGAACTGTTAATTAGTATTGACCAATGAATCGATCAGTTAATTTTTTGCCGTAGTGTTTTACTTATGCTTGGAATGATTAACGAAGTGAAATTATGTTTCTGTGTTATAATTGCACGTTTCTCTAAACTTAGTCATTTACGTAAACGAAGACAAGTTCAAATGTAGTTGATAAGAATTTCGGCATTATTTGTGGAACCCAAGTATTTTAAAGCCATGATTTGCATATTATAATCAGTGACATGAGTCTGAGTTTTGATGAAAGCTTCGTATTAAGATTTCTTGGCTGCACTCAACAACAACGTAGAACTTCGTAAGTATGTACCTCAGTCCAAGTTGCCATACCACAATAGCACAGATGCAATTGACGAATCAAATCCCATAGTGGTAGAAGTAGTAATCGGAATGAGAATGGAGATAATGAACAACCTTGACGAACACCACTTGAAGCAATCGATTTCGTCGTCAGTTCGCTATAAACTCTCACTCGACCATTTTAACATTTTTCCCAACTGATTTCAGCGTCTAATAAATCCTACATTTTGTACTTCATTCTCGTAGATTTGTGACCAAAATCTACGTCGTCAAGAACTGCTTAAAACTATTTTTATCTGGAAAAATTTCACTCTAACATAAATGATCAACTTTTAAATAATTTATTCCATTGTAGCACGCTTAAATAAACTCATTACCAAAATAGTCAAATACAGAAATAAATCGATTAGTTCACAAACATATGATGAACAATAGCTTCTGGTATATTCTAAGGTTAATCTGTACTTTATGAGAATTTCATTTGTACATCAGGTTTTCTTACGGCATATAACAATTAAGTATAGTCTAGCACATTACTCTAGTTCTAAAATAAACAAATGTCATAATAAATTACTCGAATGTCTATGTTTGAACTTTTTATACAAACCCTCTCTACTGTAACTCATCTAACAAGTATAGATTTACGCACTCCGCTTTAAGCTACAGCCACGATTTAGTGATTTGTTGAAAATTTAATGTTTCATACAAATCGCTGGCTGTTTCATATAATCGCATTTTCAAACAGTTAAATAGAAATCAATATTTGCAATGAATAATTCTATTCACATAATTTACATACAACTAGCAAAATATGTATGATTTAAACGTTAGGAAATATGTGATCGAACGAATCACAATTATTATCAATTAGCAGAGAAAGAAAGAATAGAAATTCGTATTATAAAAAATAGATTAAAGGCATAAAGTCTAAAATTAACGGCCGTACAATTCATACTTTCATTTATAAAGTCTTTAGAGTCTCAGTGAGTATACGATTTTGTTTAGTAGGGTTATTACACTTGTTAACAGTTAATTATCGTTTGTTGACAATTGAATAGTTTCATACAATTTTCCCAGTTGATAAATTTGATTAAACCAAGAACAACAGATGTAGAACTAGTTAGTGTCAATGACACACTTCAATATAAAAATAACTGAAGTGAACTCGTTTACAATTTTAACATGGAATATAAGGCTATTTGTCTAATTGGGCAAAAAACGTTATTGTCTTATTACGGTCTAGAAGCGTTAAAGTTATTCAGGAAATTATATGAGCAAAGAAGTATACTTGTTAGCGTTTTTGGCATAGACTAAGCCCGTAAACAAATTAAAGAACTGAATAATCTCCTAAATACAAAGTTAACTAATTAGAATAGAGTCCATCAGGGATTTGGCGGTTTGTGAAATTCTCCGGTGTCCAACTTTCAAAAGGTTCAAACAAACAACATAAGTAAGAATGAAATTGCTTCTACAGCTCACCAGCTGTACAGACTCAATTCGAACAGACTGAGGAAACGCTATATAAGACATAATAGTTAATTCCACTTTCCTACAAAGAGGAAGTCTGCATGCGGAAGTATGAAAAAACCATAATTTATCATTGTTAGGTACAATTAGATCAAGCCTTTTCAATGTACTGTTTCACAACCAACAAAGAACTGTATACTGAACAAATTAGAGGGATATGCAAGGAAACACTCACTTGCATTAATAACCTAGGTTTCTCAATATTCACCGAAATCTAAGCCTATATAAATGTGGTTTCGCAAAAATAAATTCTAACTTACCGATCTAGTATGTAAACAATGGTTCGAAAATTGTCGAATTGACAGCTCTGTCTATGAATATCTAGTTAGTTTCACTCAGACCATTACCAATAGTATAAGAAGCTAGGCTATTCAAAGGAGTACTGCTTTGGAAATTGCATACAGTAAAGGTTTAAGAATCCACTTATTGCTTACTCGGTGGTCCCAGGATATACGAACAATGTTTCGAAGACATCTATGGTCGAAAACCAGTAACCTAAGGGTATCCTCTACTCTCACCGACCATGTTTCTCATCCATACAGTAGGACAAAGTGAACTGCAGCTCAATACACTCATCCTTTAGTTGGTAGGTGGATATCTCGCCTACGCCAAAAGCGATACAAGTTGGCAAAAGCCAGCACAGATGAGACTCCCAAGATAAGTGAAGCGGTCAATACGCGATGGCCGAGTAGTTAA